AAAAAAAAAAAAAAAAAGTTACCATTTGTTAGTATCTGTGATTCCTCTTCAGAAGCATAAATCATTATCAACTTTTCTCAATTCTGTGCTAACAAACCACACTGGAGGTAGAACATTTGTGTGAGGGCAGGCCACTTATTATTACCCTAGAATGGGCGAGCCTAACAACAACCTGCCAGAGTCTAACTGTGGTGTTTATTCTTTTTATAGTGTAAGAACTTTATTTTATTATAGCAAATTGCTCTTAGCATGTGTATTTTGAAATTCTTTTTTTTGTTTTCATTAAAATTCTTTTTTTAACATTTAGATTATTCAGTATGTTTATCAACATAAACAATGGATTTTTAAACTAAATAGAGTTATGTTGCCAAAGAATTTACCATTTTAAGTTACAATAGGTTTTCTAGGAGCTCTTATTATGGCAATGTTGTATATTATTCTTTACTTTCCAAATTTTGTCTGCTACTGCTATCAGAAGTCATAATAAGTAAAGAGGAAACTAACCAGGAATATTCCTTATTTTTTAGTTTTGTCAGGGAAAATGCTTCTTCTTAACAACCTCACTCTTGCTAATTCTTCTAAGATACATAAAGATTTATTTTAAAAATGTTTGTAGTTTAAAAATAAGGTTTGGGGTTTTGATGATTCACTCAACAACTGTGTATCTAGCTAAAACTCTTTTACATATATATGTCTGTTATAGGAGCTATCATTGTGATGTGTAAATAAGTATTTTGAATGAGCTAATAATTTAGTACAATTTTAAATATTTACTTTTCATATGACTCTTTTCCATGGAGATTCCAGAACAGTTCGGCCCTATACGGACAGTAGCCGAGGGGAAAGGCGATGTGATCTTGATTGGCACAACGAGAAACTTTGTCCTACAGGGCACTCTGTCAGGGGACTTTTCACCCATCACTCAGGTATGGCCCACTCATCAGACCTACCAAACACATCCATCTTGCACTATATCAGACGTTTATCAAGCGCTCCAAAGAGGTGACTCATCTTATTGTTTACTAAGATACATCTTCCTCCACTTCACAGTTCAGCTACTGCCATAAATTAAGCTGGGAAAAGGGACACTGATGAGGGCATTTATGAAGTCAGCATGAAGCCATGACTAGTCATCCCTTAAGGCTCCTGAGTGTTGACTGCAGTATCTCAGTGTATTTTTGTCTGTCTCGGTTTTTTTGTAGGGTCACACTGATGAGCTTTGGGGACTGGCTGTCCATGCCTCAAAACCTCAGTTCTTGACCTGCGGTCATGACAAGCATGCTACTCTGTGGGATGCTGTTGGTCACCGGCCTGTCTGGGACAAAATAATAGAGGTAACATGCATGTTACATTTCCATTTTTCTTATATAAATTCATCTGAAACATGTTTATTTATTTTTTGCATGAAATTATCATGATATAAAAATTGTCCCAAGGAAATGTCATTTATCTCTTTAGAACTGCATTGCCTTTAACATTGCCTTGAGTGATCTCACCCATGTAATTTTGAAGTTTACTGTTGAATTTTTTGACAGGAAGTTAGCCTTTCCTAGTTGATTGTCAGATTTCCTGAGTACAGAATCTCTTAACTGGCTTACATGTTGACAAATACTTGTTATGAGCCTGCATTCTATTTACAATGTACCCTTTGCATGAGAACTTACAAATTGTACATATATTATCCTTAATCCTTGCAGCAGCCTGCAGGTTGAGGTTTTTCATTTTCACTCTGATTTCATTGATTAGGAAATTTGAGGCTGAGAGAAGTTAACTAACTGGCTGAGGTCAGTAAGTTGGTAAGTGACAGAGCCAGTGTTCATTTACACCCTGCTCAGTCTGACTCCCAAACCCTGATTCTTCCCACTGCCTCATACTTTAGTGAATCAAAAGCTTATTCTTTGTTGCCTGTCCTGTAAGACATATATAATCCCATTGAAGGAAATACTCTCTCTATAGACCACAGACATCATCCTTTCATCCCCCTAGAGTTGCTGGCATGTCACAGGTGCCAGGTCCAAGTTTCAGCTCTCCATCCCTTCACTTTCAGAGAAGGTGCACTAAAGGGTGCCAGTCCCTGGCAGACAGCTAAACACTGAAGTGGAAGGGCCCAAGAGGCAGCACCTCCACTCAAGAGAAGGGAGCACTGTGGCCCAACATGGCAGGAAAGGGCTAAAGGAAATGGTGTCCTGGTGGTCTGGGGGGAAGCTTTCCCTGCCCAAAGAGTAACCATTTGTATGTATAAGTGCTCACCACTCAGCCTGAGGTCACACGTAAGGGTAGGGGCTCAGAACTGGAAGCCGGTTAAGTTCTGTCTCTACCACCTCTGACCAACTGACTTTAGACATGAACAGTTAACTTCTTTGTACCTACACCTTCATCTCAAAATTGTTCTGAGTGTAGATGAATTATATGTACGAAACTGCTTTGTAAATGGTAAAGCTCAAGTGAACATGATTTCTATCTGTGCAGCAGTGGCAGCCCTGAGCTTAATTACAGCTCCCACTTCAGAGCAAGCATTAAAATAATGTAATCACATGTCTGAAAAGTTTCCTTCTGGTCTCTTGCGATTTTAGTTTATCTGGTAGCATTTTTTTTTTTTTTGAGACAGAGTCTCATTATGTTGCCCTCGGGAGAGTGCCATGGCATCCCAGCTCACAGCAACCTCAAACTCTTGGGCTTAAGTGATTTTTTGCCTCAGCCTCCTAAGTAGCTGGGACTACAGGCATCTGCCACAGTGCCCGGCTATTTGTTGTTGCAGTTGTCATTGTTGGTTAGCTGGACCAGGCCAGGTTTGAACCCACCACCTTCGGTATATGTGACTGGCACCGTAGCCACTGTGCTATGGACCGGGCGCCAAGCCATGTCCAGTAGTGTAGTAATGCCTCCTATTTTCATTCCCATTCCTACTTTTTTCTTAATCTTCCTCTGATTAATCTTCTCTGGCTTCAATCTGTCCTAAATACTCCTTCCAAATGTTCTTCTATCTGAAAGACAGATTCAGTCATATCACTCTTTTTATTGAAAGAAAAAAATACTCACATTATTTGCTGCCGTGCAGCCTACATCACTGTGTCACCAGGATCCTTCTTATTCTTCATCCCACATATTCTGCACCATAAGCCACTGACCACCTGCCATTCCTCAGATCTGCCCAGAACCATCTTGCTTTCTCCACCTTTATCATATCGTTGCCTCTTTTACCCCTGATCCAAAACAGTATGGTGTATCCACTTCTCACATCCACAGTGATGATTCTTCCTTTTTTGGAAGCCCAAGTCCGACACTTTCTGCACCGTGAAGCCCTGACCCAGCTTCCCAGTGTGACTTCATCTCTCTCTCCAGTGGCTCCACAGCACCTTGGGTTTTCACTTCTTTCATCTTCTGTCACAGTTAGTATTGAACATCTATGCACAACTAGATCAGAACCTAGGATGTGCCTGGCTCTTCTCATGACCCTCCACAGCAGCCCTAGTGTCTTGCATCCAGTGGCCACTCACCCTGTATGTGCACAATAGGATCAGGCACCTCAGTCACATTTCCAGACAGATGGAGCACACTGACCAATGAGCTTACCCTTCTGCACGGGGTCAGCCGAAGGGGCTGGGTTTATAAGCTATGACTTGGAAGAAGAGCATTTACTTGTTTGTCTTTCTTCTGATTATTGTAGTTATGAAAGGATATAGAACAAAAAGAGAAGCATCCTAAAGGGATAAGAATTTAGAATTATTTAAACATGGCATCCATTCAGGTAGGAAAACATTTTTCTCTCTAGAGAAAAAGAGTCTTTTCCAATAGAGCCAGAGAGCTGTAAGATGGGGATGTGTGTGTGTATGTGTTTTATGCTTTGGTGCTATATCTGTCCATCAATTTACACTTCCTTTAAAATATTTTAGGATCCAGCTCAGTCTTCTGGTTTTCATCCTTCAGGGTCTGTGGTTGCAGTTGGAACACTAACAGGCAGGTAAGTCCATACCAGCATGGCCTGTGCTTTGAATGCATATGAAAAGAGGTTTGTGGTTTATATTTCACCCCGGGCAGATACAGGTCAGCTCTTGGCTGCATCTTCTCAGTTTCTAAAGACTTCCCAAGAGTTAAGTCAGAACTTAGGAGCAAAACTTAAAAGAATGGTCCATTACATTTTGAACCTTGAGAAAATCTGAGGAAACCTATGGACCTTCTCTCCTAGAAAATGTTCCCATAGCCCCCACCGGACACACACACTCACTCTCTGTCTTTGCCCATAATTTCGGTGGTTTGCAGAGCTCTTCTACTTCTCATCTTGAGGCTATGGGAGCAGCCCTTGACTTTGGAATTGGGGAAGAAAGCATTTCAAAATGCTCAGCATTTAAAAATGGTTTTTCTAACTGCCTTTCCAGAATCTTAGAAACTGTCCAGATCTATGCCTCATATTCAGATTAAGCTGTTACTTATTTACCTGGTACCTCTGATATGCCAATCTGTGTTTGAATCTCACCTTTGTCACTTATTAAATAGGAGTGTGGCTTTAAGCCAGTTATGTAAACTTTCTGAATTTCTTTCTTTTTTTTGTAAATTATGATGCTATTTCATGCCTGGCTGTGCTGTGCTGATGATTGAAGGACAAGATACATGTAGAATATCTGCTGAGGTTGCCTGGCCGGTGATAGCAGTAGTTATTACTGTCAAAGTTTGACAAGTTTTGATTGTACCTTAATGTTATTTATCATTATATACACATTTCCTATGGTTTTATTCAGATATTTTTCCTCCTATTCTTCCTTTTTAAAAAGTATACCACTTAGATTCTGTTATTATGACTGTAAGAGCAGTGTCTTTCAACCTTTTTTATCTCACAGCACACTTGAACCTATAGTTAAACTTCTGTGGCACACTTAAATTACGTTGATCAAAAAAAAAAGAGTAAAAAGAAAAATATATTTAGCGTGCTTTGAATGTCTTTCAGAAATAATTTAATTAATGACCTTTAAAATTTTTCATGGCACACCTAACTAAGATCCTCTCACAGCACACTGGTTGAAAATCGCTGCTGTGGAATATGCATAAAGAAAGAGTAATCATTTGTAAGTCATAGGTAGCAATATCTTAAAAGTTGGGCTCCATATATCCAACAGAATTCTTCATAAAATGTTCGCATATACACACACACTCCCCACCTTTCATTTAATTCTCTCTGAGATACCTGAAGCTTCTAATTCATTAGGATTCTGACAGGCTGACAGCTATGCCTGTGTCTGCTGTGTACGATAGGGTTTGGTGGCAGTGCTCAGAATCATACAATGTCCTGGGATGGAAGAGACAGATCATGCAGCCTAATCCCTTCTTTTCCCTCCCACGACCCCTGCCGTCTGCGCCTCCTGCATCTCAGGTCCTAGGGTCCTAGGGTCCTAGGGTCCCTTGTGCTTTCAATTTAACAGGACTATTGGAAGGCATATTCTCATCAGCCCCAGTCTCACTCTTTGTTATGTTTTAGCCTCTATTAAGGTTAAATAACACATTAAAGGTGGATGGTTATTTAAGATGCAAGAAATCAAAGCTGAGAAGCAAAATCCAAATTTCAGTGGGGATAGGACTGTCACCAACGCTTGGCAATGGTTGGGACTTATGTTTAAGTTGAGAAGACAGTAACTGCCAATGTGATGTGTGTCATCCAGGTTTCACTAGAGTCTCACTTACTGCCACACTTATAGGCAGGAGAGTTCAGTCATTCTTACAGTTAACAAACATGTAGTGAGTATTGTGTCCTTATCAGAAGATACAAAGCACTTTCATATCATTATAATTTGACTTTAACATTTAACTTGCAAAATAGACCTGGACTCATTCCCATTTATAATTGAGGAAACTGGGCCCAAAGAGGTTAAATTTAAAGACTAGCGCTCTACTCACTTTTCTTCCATTCTCTCTGTCTTAAGAAATCCCCCCCCCCCATTGGTTACACACTATCATTCACATAAGTTCTAGACTCTCAGATCACCTCTCCTTGTGCAGTGCAATTCAGAACATCACCACTCTGAGTTGTCTCAGCCCTGGACCAGTACTGCATTGCCTTGTGTTAGATCTGGGTGAGCTTTTGCCGGTGGTCCTTTGTCACTTCCTCTAGTCACAGACTTAGCACTTGGTATTGGCCATCTTCCCTACCCACGGATTTCTCTCCTCCTTGCGAATGACCAAACACAAACACTTGAGAAACTATGACATAGTGTTGATAATGGAATCATTTTGAATGGTAGACCATATGCTGTTCTTTTCTTTAGAGGATGCTTATACAGAGGAAATTTTCTTGTCTTTCTTTTTTTTTTTGTAAGATAGAGTCTCACTCTGTTGCCCTGGGTAGAGTGCCATCGTATCAAGCTCACAGTGCCTCAAACTTGGGCTCAAATGATTTTCTTGCTTCAGCCTCCCAGATAGTTGGGACTACAGGCACCTGCCATAACAGTTGGCTATTTATTTTTAGGGGGCAGGGACTCACTCTTGCTCAGGCTGCTCTCGAACTCCTGAGCTCAGGTGATCCACCTGCCTCAGCCTCCCAGACTACTAGGATTACAGGTATGAGCCACTGTCCCTGGGCAGGAAATTTTCTTTAAATAAAAACTAGGAATAGGCTTTCTTATTAAGCAAATGCAAAGTATCAAGCCTTTTATGGTTAATAATTCTAATAGTCCTATTGCTGTGATAGTCTTTTTTTTCCTCGCTAAACTTACTGTGCTTTTTCTCATGTTCACAACAGGTGGTTTGTGTTTGACACAGAAACAAAAGACTTGGTCACTGTTCACACAGATGGAAACGAGCAGCTGTCTGTAATGCGTTACTCTCCAGGTCAGAATACAAACCATTCACTATTGTAAAATTCCAGTAGAATGAAATTCTGGGTAGATGTCTTTAAAGAAAAAATTGCACAAACCTCCCCAGAGTGAAATTTAAATTAGACACGCACATAATTGTGGCATTTGTGGGTTTTCTTCTCTCTTGGGTCACTGTACTTGTGTGTTTTCTAACTTTGGATTATGGGAAATTTCAAGCATAGACAGAATTAGACAGAACAGCATGGAACCCTCATGTGCTCCTCACCCAGCTTCAACAACACTTAGCTCTTTGCCAGTCCCGTCTGCCTGCAGCCCACCCACCTCCCTACTCCCATGTTATTTTGAAGCAGTTCCCAGATATCTTACTGTTTCATCTGTTAATATTATTGTATATATCTCAAAAAGATGAGGACTCTTTAACAACTTTATTGAGGTGTAATTTGTATGTAATAATTAGCTATTATAAATGTACAATTCAGCAATTCATAGTAAATTTGTAGTGTTGTGCCAGCTGTCACCACAACCCGGTTTTAGAACCTTCCCATCACCCCAAAAGTTTCTCCATGTCCACTAGCAATTCATTTCCATCCCTACACCCCATTTGAGGCAACCATTGATCTGGTTTCTGGCCTCTATAAATTGTCTTTTCTGGACATATGTAAATGGAGCTGTATAATATGTAGTCTGATACATCTGACTTCTTTCACTTAGAATAGTGTTTTTGAGATTAATCTGTGTTATTGTGCATGTTGTTTATTCCTTTTTAATTACTGATAGTATTCCATCTTATGGACAAGTACCACATTTTATTTCTGAATTTTGACCATTATGAATAATGCTATGAACATTCATGTATTTGTCTTTTGTAGATAAGTTTTCATTTCTCTTGGGCAAATTCCTAGGAGTAGTATTGGTAGATTATATGATAAACTTATGTTTTAACATTTTATAAAACTGCAAAACTGTTTTTCAAAGTGGCTCTACAACAGCTGTGGGCAAGGGTTCTGGTATCTGCACATCCTCACCAGCACTTGTTACTGTCTGTCTTTATTATAGCCATTCTGTTTTTTGTTTTTTTTTTTGAGACAGAGTCTCAAGCTGTCACCCTGCGTAGAGTGCCGTGGTATCACAGCTCAAGCAACCTGAAACTCTTGAGCTTAACAAGTTCTCTTGCCTCAGCCTCCCAAGTAGTTGGGACTATAGGCACCTGCCACAATGCCCGGCTATTTTTCTGTTGCAGTTGTCATTGTTGCTTTAGCTGGTTTGGGCTGGATTCGAACCCGCCAGCCTCGGTGTATGTGGCAGGTGCCCTACCCAGTGAGCTCAGGTACCACCTATTATAGCCATTCTAATAGGAGTGTAATGGTATCTATTGTGGTTTTAATTGGCATTTTCCTAATGACTACTAGTGTTGAGTATTTTTTACAGTGATTTAATGATTACATTCCTGTATCTTCTGTGAAGTATCCATTCAGATATTTTGCCTATTTTTCATTTGGGTTGTTGGTCTTACTATTGAGTTGAGATCTCTTTATATATTCTTTTTTAAGTTCTTAATCAAATATGTGATTTGCAAATTTTTCCCCCAGTTATGGCTTATCTTTTCATTTCTTAATGTGGTCTTTTGAAGCACAAAAGTTTTAATTTTGATGAAGTACAGTCTATCAACTTTTTCTTTTGTGGATCATGTCTTTGCTGTCGTACTCAAGCTTTTCTCTTATATTCTCTCTTTTAGAAGGGTTCTTGTTTTAACCCTCACATCTAGGTCTGTGATCCATTTTGAGTTAATTACACAGGAGTTACAAGGTTACATAAGAGTTAATTCTTTTGTATGGTGAGAGGTAAGAGTCTGAGGTTATTTGGTCTGTATATGGATATCCAGTTGTCCTAGTATCTTCTGTTGAAAAGATAATCACTTCCCTGTTTAATTATCTTGACCCTTTTATCAAAAATCTATTGATTATAATTGTAAAGGCTTATTTCTGAATGCTCCAGAATAACATTCTGTCCCCTTCACTTATGTCATCCTTGTGCCAATACCATGCAGTCTTGATTATATGACTTTAAAGTAAGTTTTCAAATTGAGTAGTATAACTCCTCTAACTTTATTTTTATTTTCAAAATTCTTGAAAAAAGTGAAGCAGCTCTGGGGGCTGTGTGTGTTCAGGATCTTGAGACATTGTTTGGGACGGGTGTTGTCAGAGCCATCCAAATGAGGATGCAGGTGTCCATGGACTCCAAGTCTTTCCTTGCCTGTGCAGGGGTCTGGGACTGCAAATGATACAATCAGCCAGTTCCTCCCTGCTTTGAGGATTTCGAGGATTTCTCCTATCAGCAGAAACAGAGCTTAAACTGCTATATGAAGAATGAGGATTAGAATTTTAAAGAGGAATTACAATCCGATGAAGGCTGTTAGAGATAGAAATGGATTGCCGAGGGAGGGTGCAAGATCCTATTTTTCATTCGTCTTTATATAACCGATACAGGGATGGTAGTTACACAGGCATATTTGTCAAAACTCTTTGAACTGTACACTTGAAATATAGGCATTTTATTACATGTAAATTATACCTCAAAGTTGATTCTTAAAAGGTAGGGGTTGTTGCTCTAACTTGATTTTTTTTTTCTTTTTTTTTTTTTTTTTTTTGAGACAGAGCCTCAAGCTGTCCCCCTGGGTAGAGTGCCGTGGCATCACAGCTCACAGCAACCTCCAACTCCTGGGCTCAAGCGAGTCTCCTGCCTCCGCCCCCCAAGCAGCTGGGACCACAGGCGCCCGCCACAACGCCCGGCTATTTTTTTTTTGGTTGCAGCCGTCATTGTTGTTTGGCGGGTCCGGGCTGGGGATTCGAACCCGCCACCTTAGGTGTACGTGGCTGGCGCCCTAGCCGGCTGAGCCATAGGCGCCGAGCCTTTTTTTTCTTAAGTAATTAACCCATTGCCCTAAACTTATTTGTTTAGGGCAATGATTCTATTATGAAAGAGTCCCCGTTATTTTATAGATCACAAATGACCAGATAGTTCTTTGAGACTATTTTGCTTAGCAGTGCATGGGCCATACCCCTGACACTTCATATGTCAGACTTTCAACTGTCTTTCCCCCTAAGCTGTGTCAAAGGGGCAGTGGAATTTAGCAACAAAATGCCCAGACCATGGAGTCAGATTGCCTAGGTTCGAATGCCAGCTTCAGGAAGCCCATGTGACCTGGGTCAAGTTACTTTACCATCTGTGCCTCAGGTCCCTCTCCTAAAAAATGAGGATAATTATCTCTACTTCATATAGTTGTTACAAGGATTGATTATGTTAATACAGGAAGAGTTTAGAATAGCACCTCATATGTAGCAGCATTCCATACATGTTGACTGTTATAATAATTATAATTATTATCATTAAGTAGTGATATTAGTAGCATTTAGTATGTCGGGGAGTGGTCACTTGGGGCAATTAGAGACTTGGCTGGTTTCCCACATGGCTCCCTGGACTTCTCAAGACAGCTGATAGTAACCAGTCCTCCAGCTAAAGTAAAAACATCCATTTGCCCCATCCCTTCAGGATTCCTTATTTGGTCAGGCTGCCTTAGCCTCTTACTAACACCCCTGTTTTGACCTGGCATAGGCCAAGACTTCCTAAAATACCATTTCCTGACAGCACCAGGCCACGCTATGTCCTGTAGGATTCCTACTAAGAGTCGGGGGGGGGCAGTCAGAGGAGAGGAAGGGAAGAGAAACAACCCTCATTGAAGCTTTGTGTGCCCACAGCCACTGGGTGCCTTACAGATAGTGTCTGAGTGGATCCTCTCTATTGCTATGAAAAGGCACATTGGCTGTGTGTGTATTGCTGATGGAGGATCTAATGTGCAGTATCAGTGAGGACTGGCCTGCAGCCCCCAAGCTGGTGTGGAGGGGCCCCTGCTGCTGTGCATCCTGTCCTGGGTCTGGTATGCTTCCAGGTTTCTGATCCTCCCTTTTGCTTCCTGGCGCAGGAAAGTCTGACTTTTTCCTGAACTAGCTCTCAGGCCCTGTTTCCTTTCCAGTATGTCTTGGGTCTTCCTCCCATTAGCATCAGGCTTGGCACATTCATTTGTTAGCCACAAGTTCTGCTTTTTGTTATAATGTGCAGCTTCCCTTGTTTTAACACATGCGACATGGCCTGATTCCTTGGGCTTTCCTGGGACCAGAAACTCTGGTGAAGAAGACACCGCATGATGGCCCACTGCAAGAGAGGGGGGGATGGGCATACCAGGCAGGACCAGTGAGTGCAGAGGCACAAGAGAATATGTGTTCAGGCACACATATCTTGGAAAGCCTTGTGGGCCCCTTAAAAGAATCACATCTCCACCTTCAGTGATGAGGACAGGGTAGCCAAGAAAGGGTTTCATAAGATTTTATGAAAGTTTATAGAAAAAGTTCATAAAAAGTTTTTTTGTTTTTTTTTTAAATTTCAGGCTCCTTTATTCCATGAATATTTACAGAACATCAACTATAGGCAAAACCTTGACATAATCATTGAAGATAACATTGGGACAAATATATCAATTTTATGAGGAAACAAAAGCATTATCTGCAAATCAATTATGAGATAAGTGTACTCATTACCACCACTCCTAGTAAAGTTGAAGATCCTAGCTAGTACAATTATGATAACTTAAAAATCCCAATGGTTTGTAAAATAAATACAAATTTCATTACTTCCGAGTTACTAAGTTACTTGCAAGTTACCAAAAACAATAGAAAAATTCAGCAACATAGCTAACTTCAAAATAACTATACAAAATCAATTATATTCCTATATAAAAAAGAATTACAAAATAATATTAGAAAACAAAGATAGCATTGTATCAGCAACCAAAATAGAAAGTACCTATCAATATAGCTTTAACAAGAGCTGTGCAATTTTTTTTGAATACATAATCATTTACTACTTGTTTGTTACAGAATACACAAGACAAAATACAAATAGCAAACAAATATTTTTTGCTTATTATGTTTTTACCAAAATCTAAAAAAATAGACTAATACATATAAATAAAAGTCAAAAAATAATTTCTAAAAAAAAACAGATCACGCCAAGTCTTATAGACAGTAGAAATAGAAATACTTCAAAATCATTCTACTTAGTCTGGATACCCCTGATAGTAAAATTAGAAAAAATATATTATTATAAAGGGGAAATTACAGGCATATTTCACTGATGAATAAGGATGCAATATGATAAACAACATATTGACATGCTGAATTAAAAATTGATGTTTAAGTAATATACATTGATCAAAATTAAATCCAGTTTGTGTGAGAATTAGTCATTATTTTTTTTTTTGCCCAAACGCCCTTGCTTCTTCTCTGACTGATCTCCCCTTCCCCCATGCCCCATGTCATTAATTGTCATCAATTGTCTTCATATCAAAGTTATATCCAAAGTCATATCCATTCCTGTGATGCTTCACTAAGAATAATGTGTTCCACCTCCATCCAGGTTATTACAAATGCTGTAAAATCTTCATTTTTGATGGCTGAATAATACTCCATAGTGTACATATACCACAGCTTACCAATCCATTCCTGGGTTGAGGGACAATTAGGCTGTTTCCACGTTTTAGCGATTGTAGATTGGGCTGCGATAAACAGCCTAGTACAAGTGTCTTTATAGTAAAAGGTTTTTTTTCCTCTGGATAGATGCCCAATAGTGGGATTGCAGGATCACATGGGAGGTCTAGGTTGAGTTCTGTAAGTTTCGCCATACTTCCTTCCAAAAAGGTTGTATTAGTTTGCAGTCCCACCAGCAGTGCAAGAGCAAACAAACGGGCACCCACTACTTGCCGGTTTTCCACCGCTTCTGACCTCCTCGTGGGGTCCTAAAGTCTCTCACTGACTTCCTGGGTCACCAGAGGACAGCCTCTGGGCAAAACCCACCAACCAGAGATGCCTGGAATCTTCTCTCCCCCTTTCTCACTGCGCCCAGTTACACAGAAGCTGCTACTCAGCTGCCATCTTGCTGATAACTCCATAAAAAGTTTATAAATCTTTACCAGATTTTGTTATCTGACCAGGTGAGTATTTCTCAAAAGACAGCTTAGGAAATGATGTAGAATTTATTCAAAAGGAAATTTTTCTCTTTGAAATACTTCATTAATCCAGCTATTGTGTCTAAATCTGTGGTGGCAACTAGCATTATCCTTTGCAATGAATAAATGTTTGGTTTTAATATCTTAAATGTGATCTATCATATTTTTATAGATGGGAATTTCTTAGCAATAGGCTCTCATGACAACTGTATCTATATATATGGAGTTAGCGACAATGGAAGGAAATACTCGCGCGTTGGCAAATGCTCAGTAAGTGTACTTATTATTTCTCATAAATACGTGTGTGGTCATTTAATTCTATCATGGTGTCATCAGCGATCTGTAAGGTGTGTGGGACTCACAGAATGATTTTTCTCTTGCAGGGTCATTCCAGCTTCATTACTCACTTGGACTGGTCTGTAAACTCACAATTCCTTGTGTCAAATTCTGGAGACTATGAAATCCTTTACTGTGAGTAACACCCCAGGAGCTGTGTGGGGTTTAGACTACATAAAGCATTCACTCTGAGACCCAAATAGGGCCTTCATAAAGACCCATACCCCAGGAACTTGCCATCTCCAGGCTTGGTTCTCCTCCCCCTACCCCTGTGTAACATGGAGGAGTTGGGTTCAAGTTAACCAGGGGCCCTCATGGATAGGAAGGTGCAGGGTCCACCTGAGGAGAAGGCCTCAGCCTGCACAGAGAGGCTGGAGGCAGCAAATGTGGCAAAAGGAGGGGCTGGATCCATCAACATAAGAAGCGGTATATAGAGTCCATGACATCCCTTCTACCTGGGGGACCAGCACCCCCTGGGGCTTCTCCTACTACTCTCCCATTCCCTCCCTGGCCAATTTCATGTGCCCAAGCACAACCTGGGAACATGAACGTGATAATGGCAGGTACTCAGAGCACAGGCCACCTGCATGTGCAGATTCCTCAAATATTTACTCATCACCTGCCAAGTACCCAGTTCTGGGCTAAGCAAGGGGGCTCATAGGGCATAAGAAAGGGCTGACCGGCTCTGCGCCTGTGGCTCAAGTGGCTAAGGCGCCAGCCACATACACCGAAGGTGGGTTCAAATCCAGCCCGGACCCGCCAAACAACAACCACGGCTGCAACCAAAAAATAGCCGGGCGTTGTGGCAGGCACCTGTGGTCCCAGCTACTTGGGAGGCGGAGGCAGGAGACTCGCTTGAGCCCAGGAGTTGGAGGTTGCTGTGAGCTGTAAAGCCACAGCACTCTACCCAAGGGGACAGCTTGAGGCTCTGTCTCAAAAAAAAAAAAAAAAAGGGCTGACCTATGCCCACTGAAAGTTACTAGAAAGTGCAGTGCTTTTCACCTATATTTTCCCATATGATCCACAGCACTTTCTGGCTTATTCCCATTTTACATGTAAGAAAATTAGGGCTCAGATACCAGGCCACAGGCACCAAGAGCTAGTGGATGGGGAAGAAGTTGTACTTCTTAGGTGTGTCACCTGCTTGTTGTGGAGCCAAGACAGGCAGGACTGCTGGTGGTAGGGGAAGGAGGACAGCATGTTCCAGGACTGAACCTTCCACCCTCTGAGGTGGAAGGTAACCACATAGGCTCCCCTCTCCCGTCTGTCCAGGCCCTATCTGACACATGGGCAGAAGCACGGTGATGGTTCTTAGGGATCATCCCTGGGCTAGAATCTTCTCAGACACAGTCTCATAGTGAGACTATGAGACTATTTAGAAAACAAATAAATCACCTGGGAGGATTTAGGCGCTTGGTGTGACTGGTTTCCATAAGCTTCCTAACTCTGAGCTAAAAGGACTGTGTGCAGAGTCTTAGGGGGTGGATTGGGGGAGGGTTGGGGAGCCTGAGAGCAGAGGCAGGTTGTGTTCTGGAGCTCCAGTGGGGTCAGCAAGCAGAAACCCCAGAACCAAGAGAAGCCAGCCTATGGGAAACAAACTCAAAGAAGATGAGGAGGAAATAAAGAAGATGGGGTTCTCCTCCAAGGCTGGAGACTTGGAATCAGTTCCCATGAGGTTCCAAAGGAGAGCGCATCCTTTCCCTGAGAGGGCTCCATAGCCCATGGGGCAGGGCTCATAAAGGCTCAGCCTTGCTCAGGGGAGGGGTGGGGCTTTGGTTTAGAAGCCACCAGACTGTATTTGCTTTTCCTAGGGGTTCCCTCTGCTTGTAAGCAAGTCGTAAGTGTGGAAACTACAAGAGACATTGAATGGGCTACTTATACCTGCACTTTGGGATTCCATGTTTTTGGTAAGTTTCCTACAGATTTCATAAGACATGTCTACATTTAGAATATTCTCTAGTGATTATGAAATCTCATAGTCACCACTCTTGTCAAACTGCTCTGCTGCTGCCTGAACCCCATAAGACACACACTCTACAGCTCCCTGGCCAGGGTGTGCCCAGGTGGGGCCAGCTGAGGAGAACTAGAAAGATGGATTTTTAACCCGTTCCCATTTTACAAAATGGGTCCTGAGATACTTCTCTAGAATCTTTTCCTATCATGTTGGCCAGACTTTCTGAGGTGGGCCAGATGGTAGTCAATCAATTTACTTATCATTTGTTAGGTCTGCTGTATCTTTTTGGCTCTGGCTCTTGAATATATCACTTCCTTCAAAGTTCACTTTAGGAATATATTCATAAATGACATAAATTAAGTTGCCACTGTTAGGAGAATAAAAAAGAAAAGGCATTATTTATAATCTGTTCATGTGAGACCATAAGTCAGTAAGTTGGTAAATATTCACAAGTCTCCTTAGAGTGGGCATTTTACTGTTTTCTGGTGTTAAATCCCCAGAGCCTATAGGCTGCAGAACAGCTAGCTGAGAGAACTGATGTGTATTCAGCTCTGTCGTCTCTAAAGTGGGACTCAAAGGGTTCCCCAATAATGGTCAGAAAACAGCACCCCCTGCCCAACCATTCTCCAAGCGCCCTTGGGTTCACAGCTGCAGTGGCACCCCCCAGGGGGCCACAGGTAAGCAGCAGCCAAGGAGCTAACACTTAGAAACTCCTGAAAGACACACACAAAGTCAGGATTAAAAAGTCCTTTGGAGTCCTTTACTCACATGTAAAGAATTACAGAAAAAAAGTTAGTAAACTACAGCCTTGAGGACTAGTTAGCTCCATCAGATGCTTTGGGATAAAGGAAAGGGGTTGTGGCTCAGCACCTGTAGCTCAGTGAGTAATGTGCCAGCCACATACACCAAAGCTGGAGGGTTCGAGCTCAGCCCGGGCCTGCTAAACAACAGTGACAACTACAACCAAAAAATAGCTGGGCATTGTGGCGGGCACCTGTAGTCCCAGCTACTTGGGAGGCTGAGAAAAGAGAATTGCTTACGCCCCAGAGTTTGAGGTTGCTGTGAGCTGTGATGTCGCGGCACTCTACTGAGGGCGACAAAGTGAAACTCCGTCTCAAAAACGGGGGGAAGGGTTGTGTTCAGAACCAGGGTTTCTAATACTCTCTGCAGTAGTGTCAAGAAGGGGCCCTGAAAGAAGTGGGCAGCCCAGAAAACTTGCCTTTGTTCTTACCTTGTAGCAGAAGGTAAGAACATTAAAAGATTTCCCGAGAATAGCTGGGAGTGAGATAATACTGAAGTCCAAAGAGAAGCTAGAGGCTAAGACTGAGTGTTCATTTTGACCCTTATTTCTACATCTGGATTTAAGGCAATTTTAGTTTCATGATGGCTCAATAGCCAGTTCTCACGTGATGTGACCCTCTGGTATTTCCAGTGCTCTTTTTGTGTTCTTTGTTTTAGGAGTGTGGCCAGAAGGCTCAGATGGAACTGACATCAATGCTGTCTGTCGGGCCCATGAGAAAAAAATCCTGTCAACAGGCGATGACTTTGGCAAAGTGCACCTCTTCTCTTATCCTTGCTCCCAGTTTAGGGTAAAGGACTTGTTTTTTCACTAATCTTATCCCTTAGGGCATACACTTGTGGCCTGATCTGTTTGGAATCTGAATAGAAATGGGCTGTAAGTGAATGCTACCAGGCAGGAATGCAGATATGACTGTTAGCTGCTGCTCCAAGCACTTCTTGGTTCCCCACTGCCCTCTGGGACTCTTGGCCCTAGTCCTCACATGACCTATAAAGCCGTGAGGTCTGCCTTGTCTCCCCCTATAGCTTTGTGGGCCTCCCTTCACTCTCTTCCACCCTTTTTCTGGCCCTGCCAAGATGAGCCAGCCTACTGCCTAGAACACTTTTCTTCATCCTCCCCACCCCAACCTTCTCTCATCCTCAACCCCCAGCCTCTGGATAGTCCCACCTTTGGGTGACCCAGTGCCTGGCACTGGGTATCAAACCTGTCTCTTGGCCAAGAGCAGTCATTTGTTCATGTCTGACCCACTTCTAGACCACAGGAACTCTGTGGTTTGTTTCTGTGTTCCTCCTGTGCACAGATAGCTGTTGGGTGAAGGGAAGAATAAAGGAATGACAGAATGGATCGAGAATTGAGGCATTTTCTGATTCCAAAGAGCTGGCTTTGTAGTAAGCTTTCTTCCATATCATATTTTCAGGCTCCAAGCCACATATATGGTGGGCACAGCAGCCACGTCACCAATGTCGACTTCCTCTGTGAAGACAGTCACCTCATCTCCACTGGCGGGAAGGACACGAGCATCATGCAGTGGCGGGTTGTCTAGCCCCCAGCGAGAACTGGGGAGTAGAAAGTGCACGGAAGACACAGACTCGCTTTACGCTTGGTCACTGTGATTTCTGTTTTGTTTAAAAAATTTTTACAAACCTCAGGAAAACTATGCCCTCTGCCGGTTACCTTAGCTCAGTGAATCAGCGAGCATCACATCGGATAAGCAGTTCCGTTTTGCAGTTTGCTGTACAGTATATGAAACAGTGCACATTGAATATGGAAAGAGGTTCCAAGGTTTACATTGCGGTGACATCAACAGAAGTAACTGGTATATCCTTAGTAACTTTTCTATGAACTCTTCAAAAATGGTCACAGAATGCCTTTTAAAATATTGTATATAGTCTTTACTATTTCACCATCTAGCTTGCTAAGTCCAATATTTATGACAATAATGAGGTACTGAACCGAGAGAGCTGTTGATAAATTGGTCCTAAAAGGATAAATTACTTGAGAAGAGAGTGAATAACTGATTTGCACAGGTGAATCAGGAAATGCAATATGAGACTATATTTGGTTGCATTTTCTAAGGTTTCATTAGATCTCCCCTTGGGAGGCTCTGAGGAAGGGGTAGCATTCTTCTTGTGTTAAGCAGATTATACTCCACATTGACTTAAATATTTCAGCAGGGTGTGCAGGCATTTCAGAGTTTCAGTTAGACTGTCCTGCCTAACCAAATGCAGTCAGCCTCTTAACACCTATGTGAATTGCGTCCCTCTGTCCCTTGTTCACGTGCCCTGATTAATGGTGAGATAATTCACCATTTTCTTCTGTGTATTAATTGGCATGATATGATATTGTACTTGTATAGGGTTTTAGCTATTCATAATAAATACGTAAGACTGGCTTTACTGTTTTATGCTTATGGACAGTGTATATTTGTATTTTATGACCAAGTAGACCAAGTCAGAAATTATCTCTTGAGTATAACATAAACCTGCAGAGAGGAGAAGTCTTGAAAGGCTTCACCAGGTACTAAGGGCAGCTTCTTTTTCTGTCTTTTGTGCATGGACAACTTGTTACAGTATGAAATAAGATTATGTTCTGATGAGTAAAAGATAGTTGGCATAAATTTGTCAAGAAGGCCTTATCCATTTTGATTGTGTGACAGATTGAAATTTATTGTTTACATTGGGGAATGTATCTCGGATTTTTAAATAGAAGAGTAATAAACAGACTTTAAAACAAATATTAAGATTTTTACTCGTTCTAGGCAAATAAATGAATTGAATTATCTGAACTCTAAGGCACTGGTTGTTTAGAGTGGCTGATTAAATGCAACTTTTAGAAATGTTTTTGATGCCATCACCAGCCTGCTACAGAAGTGCAGGGCACCAGTAAACAACTTGTATTAAAGAAGAATCTGTTTGTATGTATCCTTGTCAAATATATTCTATAATGAAATAAAATCTGAAAAGTGGATTTCTTATTGACCTATATTCATGGAAGTGTATAAATTAAAATATTTAAAATTAGATATGATTCACACTATGTTTCATCTGCAGATTTTTTTCTCACCTGGGTCATTTATAAATGGAAATACAGTTTGCATATGATATGGTAGCATTCATCAGATGAGCTTATTTTTAAATTGATAACTTTGGGAATAATCCACTCAGGGGAGGGAAAGAGATCCATCACTGACTTAGAAGTCAATAGGATTACTTTTATTTCTATATACTTAACACTGTTTTGCCAAGCCCAATAATTGAAAAGGGAAACATATACACAGTACTCTTCATATATATATAAAAACTACTATTGCTGTCTTCATATTTGCCTACACTTAAAATGAAATTCTTTAAATGGTACAGTATTGACCTTGCAGATATTCATTATTCACTCATTAACACAGTGAGTAACAAGTACCACCATTCACCACCTCTCAGGCAAACAAGGCTAGAACCTTCAGGATTCTTCTGGAAGAAGACAGGTAGCTAGGTCCACATGACTAGGCCTCTTTCTCCCACAGCTCTTAGCCTGGCTTCCCTGTAGCACATAAGACAAGAAAAGTAGGCCAGGTGCAGTGGTTCATGCTGGTAATCCTATCACTTTGAGAGACCGAGATGGGAAAATCACTTGAGCTTAGTGGTTCAAGACAACCTGAGCAACATCACGATGTCTCTACAAAAGCTTTTTAAAAATAAGTTGGGTACGGTGACACATGGCTGTAGTCCCAGCTATTTCAGATTCTGAGGTAGGAGAATCTCTTGAGCCCAGGGTCAGAGGCTGCAGTGAGGTATTATTGCACCATTCTGAGCAACAGCGGGAGACTCGATCTCAAAAACAAAAAAAACAAGTAAAGATTATTTATTGGGAGTTACAAAGATTATTATTTGGAGATAAGTAAGTTTGTCAGTAACAGAGAATTTTCTAGTATTTGGAGTTATAATAATGTAAGTTCATTAGCATAAGAGAATTTTTCAGTGGAAAAAGTCCTCAGGAGGTTTTTTCTTTTAACTTACTATTTTTAATTTTGTATTAATAATGAATACATTTCCATGGCAGTCCTGTTTTGATAAAGTTAAGGACAAAGGAAATCCTGGATCTCCTCAGAACAGGGTGGGCACCTACTTTCATGCAGAAGGGTATAGTTGACCCTTGAATGACACGGGGGTTAAGAGTGCCAACCCCTGCCCCATGCAGTTGAACATTTGTGTTTAACTTTGGTCTCCCCCAAAACTTAACTACCAATAGCCTACTATTGACCATAAGTGGTTTTTTCTTTTATAATATCACTTTATTCAGGAGATAATCAAATACAATATAGAGCTGACACTGAGAAACTATGCACAAAATCATATAAATCTGCTTGTTGCATTTTCTAGAAGAGGTTCAGTCATTGAACCATAAGTGTTTATAACATAAATAGTCAATGAGCACATATGTTGCATGTTAATGTATTATATGCTCGATTCCTTCAATAAAATAAGCAAGAGAAAAGAAAATCACAAGAGGAAATATATTTACTATTCATTAATGGAAATGTATCATCATAATGGTCCTCATCCTCATTGTCTTCACACTGACTAGGCCAAGGAAGAAGGGGGATTGGTCTTGCTGTCTTAGAGGTGGCTGAGGTGTAAGAAAATCCACGTATTATTGGACTTGTGCAATTCAATCCTGTGTTGTTCAAGGCTCAACTGTATATACATGGCTCTGATTACTTTCAAATTGCACTTTGCAATGTTGTTGAAATCCTACTACCCTGGATTTCTGAGCCAAAGCATTAGCAAAAAAATGCATTTTTACTTCTCTAATAGGTTCAAGCATTTTGGGAGAGCCCTCTTATATGTCCAGCAGTTTTCTGGCCACAGGGAGGCCGCCCAGGGGCCTAAGACAATTTCTTCCCTAAAGCTGCTTGCAGTTTGGGGGTGTGTTGTGCTTGGCAGAACCCCTGTTTCTTTGATAGGAAGAGAGAAGTCAGGGAGGTGGTAAGATAGAAGTTACCTGGCATGATATAGATAACAGTGTGAAGATGGGCCAGCTAAGGGCATTGTTGATGAGGGAGAATGTGCATGCTTTCAGGGAATCTGAGGTGGGCTGTGGGGTGGGGATCTCTGCTTTTGGCAGTCACCCTGAGCCCGTTGCGGACATGTCCTTCTGCCAGCCTGCTACAAGCCTGCCTCTGAGGCCTGAGAAGTAGATCCAGAGAGTGTCAGCCACCAGGTCAGGGCAGGGAGGCCAGGTCATTTACTCTGCAGGTGTCTGGGGGATTCTGTAGGCTTGTGACAATCCCAAGGGGAAGCAGTCATATTTGATAGATATACTGAGGCTTGGAGCAGGAAATAACTTCCCTAACACTGGTACTTTCTCCAGACTTATCTTAAGAAATAAATGCTAAGTGCTGAGGATGGAAGGATGGGCAAAATCAGACCAGTTTCCACCCTGGCAGCACCTACAGGGCAGTGAAGGAGGTGAATGTTAACAAAATACTTGCACATCGGCTCGGCACCTATAGCTCAACCGGCTAAGGCGCCAGCCACGTACACCTAAGGTGGCGGGTTCGAATCCCCAGCCCGGACCCGCCAAACAACAATGACGGCTGCAACCAAAAAATAGCCGGGCGTTGTGGCGGGCGCCTGTGGTCCCAGCTACTTGGGAGGCCGAGGCAGAAGACTCGCTTGAGCCCAGGAGTTGGAGGTTGCTGTGAGCTGTAATGCCAGAGCACTCTACCCAGGGGGACAGCTTGAGGCTCTGTCTCAAAAAAAAAAAAAAAACAAAATACTTGCACATCAAAGTGACGACCATGGTTGATAAGGGTAAAAGAAATGAACACATGTCACAGAGAGACCTGAGCAAGTCTGCGGACTCCAGAGAGCTTCCCTGCAGGGCACAGAAAGAAAAGGAATGGCCAGCAGGGTGGGGAGAGGGGTGCTGGAGGCCTTTCCCTTAGAGGGGAAGCAGGAACACAGTGGGTCAAGGGGTTGCGGGTAGAGGGGCTTGTGGAAGGCGGGCCTGGCCAGCAGGGGGCCATCCAGACAAAGCTTTGGGGGAACACGTTAAAGGTTTTATTCTGAATCCTAAAAGCAAACCAGAGCCACTGTGCGTTACATAGAGAAGGATTCAGATTGGCATTTGAAAAGGGCTCCAGACTGTGGCAGGTGACAGGTGAGGGGATCACCATAATCTCGTGAGCAGTGATGTTGGCAAGGGGAGAGGTGGAAGTGCTGTCTGAGACAGGTTTCCAGAAAACCTCGGCAGGCCTGGGGATGGACAGGATGTGAGAGGGAGAGACTCTCTGTTCCTGACTAGTTCTCAAGCTGCTGTCAGTACTGTTACCTGAAGTGTGGAACACTGAAGGCCTGGAGGAGGGTAATGGGTCGGGCCCAGAACAGTTGCAGTGAAGTGAGGTGCTTCTGACATCCAACTGCAAAGGCAATGTGGGTATTTGGTTTTGCAGCTGGAGGTGCAGAATGTGAGGCTTCATGTGAGCCTGACATTGGAAGTCTGGGTGCAGCTGAGATTGCAGGGTGTTGGGCAAGCTGGAGGCTGGGTGAGTAGAAGAGGGCCTCCCACCTCGCCTAGGGGACTCCAGAATTCAAGGGCAGGTAAGAGGAGAGGCAAGGAAGAGGAGAGGCAGGTGATAGGACAGAAGGCACTCGGCACATAGGAACCTTACATGTCCAGCACCGGGGTGGCTTGATTTGGGGCTCACTGAGAAACTAGTGTGAGTTCTTCAGTTATTTAGCAATGGGCTTTCCAGCTTGTCCACGTACAAGTGCTGCTAGGCAGGAGATCCAGGCATGGTAGGGAGAGTCTTGGTCAGTGGGGAATAGAGGACACAAGGTCAGGGTCATGTCGGGCTGTCAGGCTGTGTAGAGCACAGAGGTGAGAGTTTTCAGGGGAGCTTCCAGGGTCAGTTGGAACTGGGGAGAGGGTAAGTTCATGAAACCTTGGCACTGGTAGATCTCAGGTCTGTGGTTTCCACTGTGTAGGGGCATCCTGGTCTTAGGGGTGGGAGCGCCTGCCATGGGCAGGTTGTCTGTGGTCCGTCCACTGGAAAGCCCACTCCACCATCTTCCCACCCCCAGTGCTTTTGAGTGATTACTTCCACAGCCCACAGGTTGGACATTCTATTAACCATCTTTTCTGTGATCTGGGGACAGGCCCCCTGTCATCCTATCTAACAGGCAGAAGAACTCATAGAAAAAGCATCATTTGGCCTCTTAAAGTGACTCATCTAATACACAACTGGGGTGGCAGCTTTCTGGTGAAAAGAAGCTGAGAAACATGGACTTGTTACAAGGTAGAACCTGATTTGGGGCCTCCTCTCCCTACAAACTCTTACTCCCTCTCTCTTTTTCCAAAGTTTACGAAAAATTTTAAATGTACACAAAAGTAGAAAGAGCTTCTCACCTAGCTTCAAAAATTATCAACATTTATAAAATCTTGTTTCCTCTGACTCCTTTAACTTTTTTGGAGGGACTAGAGTATTTATTTATTTATTTATTTATTTTTGGTAAAGCCAGAGTCTTACTTTATCACTCTCGGTAGCGTGCCATGGCATCACACAGCTCACAGCAACGTCCAACTCCCAGGCTTAGGCAATTCTCCTGCCTCAGCTTCCCGAGTAGCTGGGACCACAGGTACCCCCCCACAATGCCTGGCTATTTTTTGTTGCAATTTGGCCGGGGCTGGGTTTGAACCCGCCACCCTCGGCATATGGGGCTGGCGCCCTACCCACTGAGCCACAGGCGCATATTCTCTCACCTATATATACCTCAGTCTGCGACTCTTATGAGGACACTGTGACATCTTCTGAGGATGTCAGTGTCCTGGGTTGTAAAGCCAGACCCCAGGTCTCAATGCCTGGCACTGCCTGGGGATGTGATGCCATGAGATGAAGCACAGGACAGAATCACCTGGCAGGTGTGTGCACCCCCAGTCTCAGTTCTGAACCTTTCTCTGGTGCCTACTTC